ATAAAACATGAAAACATTTCATTAGAATGGTATTTACCGGTAAAACGTTGAAGTGCTTCATACCCAGATGGCTCCATGGGCATAAAGAACACACAAAACTAGTGTTGTTTGGACCCCCCTTTTTTTTTTTCAGATAAAATGAAGTGAACTAAAACTGGCACATGCCGCCAAAAATCCCGTAAGAGATTTTACCCAACATTAATAGACTATTAAAAAATGAAGGCTATATCACCTACTCAGAGTTTCAGAATTGTACGTGAAATAAAATGTTAATATGATAATGTACTCTCTTTATATATATATGTGTGCATATGTATATATCTATATATATATATCTTGGAGACATAATTTATATTTTAAAATATTAGAATTGGTAAGATAATTTGTGGAGGAGGAGATCTGCCTCCAGATCCATAAAAAATAAATAGGTTTTCCCATGATTCATATGCACAACTTAAGAGTAAAATATTAATATATTTCCTGTAAGTAGCAAGAAAATACTGATTATATTTATTACTTAAAATATGATATTTATTTATATTTTAATCTACAGCAAATGTTAGCTATTTTCTTAAGTATGGTGATTCATTTCTTTCACTCAGCACAGATAAGGCTAAGGAAGGAGGGTCACCATAAGTTCAAGGCCAGTCTGAACTATCTGGTAGATTCCTGACCAGATACCCATGTCCGTGGATATAGAGTGGCACTGGAAAGGGGGAAAAAGTAAAACTTAAGCCAGCGAGTGGATTTCCCATATTCCTGAGTAAAAGGCTTGGTTCAGTCTCTCACTCTGAATTTTTATAAATAAAGACAGAACTGTCAACAAAGTTACAAGAGGGTGTTGTATAAATAATAATGTGTTTTATATAGAAAGATCCAGACCTGAGGGAAATGGGAAAATATAAGGGATTTAATTTGCCAGATATTTTGACCTAATATAAAGCTTTTATAATCAGGACAAATTATACTTACAGTGGCTGGTCAGTGAACAAAACTGAAAATACAGGAGAAAAAATGTATATGAGGGAGAATTTAATATGGCATGAAGTCTGACATAATTCAGCATCCACCTAAAATCCCCAGTTGAGTACCTTCCTTCCGTCATGTGTAAGAAACTCCAAACACATGAAAATCAAATGCTAGGAAGGAATGGTGCCCTAATTAGATAAAATCTTCAACAATGGCTATCATGTTGGTTGGTGGGAATAACACAACCAAAACGTGAGGGCAGAACTTAGAAGAGATGACACCAATTTGATTGTGTGCAGCCTTAACATGATAAAGACAATCATGTTAGAAAAAATCCATAGGAAAATGAAAAACTTCATTATAGCTAACAAAATTAATAACTGTAATATTCTAAGAATCTTTTAAAATCATCAGAATAAAGACACAAAATTCAGTACAAAAACTGGCATTTTACGGGAAAGGAAATCTAATAACCCACAGTCCAGTGGATACAGGCTCAAATCTCACTGGCAATGAAAGCAATGGTTGTACCAGCAAAGAGCCTCTTTCCTGAAAGGAATCAAGCCTGGACCTCCAGGTCAGGTGACAGCATCTTCTGTAATATGAGGGCCCCACTGTTGTTTCCTGACGGCTTTGTCTACTTAATGCTTTTGTATTTCCCCAGGAATGTGTAAAGGAAGAAAGACCAGTACTCAGAGCCAGTACTGTGCTGTTTTAAACATTTTATATGAATTATATGTATTAAATCTCTGAGGAAAGGGATGGTTATATGTGCTGAGGGCAGAAGACACCTCGCCAGAATCCAGTCTTTCTGTGTGGGTTCTGAGGATTGAATTTAGGATGCAAGCTTAATACCTTTATGTGTTGAACATTCTCTCTGGCCCACTACTGGCTTCTTGCCAAGAGTTTGTGATTTCCAAACTTCACTCCTTCCTATAAGCAGAGAACGATGAGATTCTAGGAGTGTCGTCTGTGTGAGTTGGTCATGCCGTTCAATCCATATTTTGTTGTTCAGTTGTTCATTTCTTCTTGTAGGAAGTTTGCATTAAGATTTAAGATGTCTCAAGCTAGTGATACTTTTGCCAAAACATGCTCTACAGATCAAAACAATGAAATAACTTTCTAGTTAGAGCAATAAGAGAAGCTATGAAAAGAAGAGAAAGGATATTAAGAAGCTCTAAGTCGAGGGAGGGAGAATAGATATTAAAAAAAATAAATTTTCATGAGGATAATTGTGGGCATTCAGTGTCTTGACAGTGTGGAGATCGGAGAGAAAACCTTGGAATATAAACACTGGAGCTTTGACTCTTAGTTTGACCTGTGGTGATTATAATGAAGAGAACCCATGCTGAGCAGTGAAGAGAGCCAGAATTCTGGAGAAATTCTAAATCTCCAGAGATTTCCTGGGGCTGGGGAGGGATGTTGAGGAAGCTGCGGGTTGCATTCCTGCCACCCTGCTCCCAGCCGCCTGGGTATCTTATACCCCGAAATAACAACACACAAACTGTATTCATTTAAACACTTCTTGGCCCATTATATCTAGCCTCTTCTCAGCTAACTCTCACACCTGGACTAGCCCATTTCTAATAATGTGCGTAGCACCCCAAGGTGCGCTTACCGGGAAGATTCTAGCCTATGTCCTGGGTTGGAGCTTCATCGTGTCTGTTCCAGAGAACAGAGCTATCAAGTCTGAGCTCACTTCCTCTTCCTCCCAGCATTCTGTTCTGTTTACTCCACCCACCTATGTTCTAACCTATCAGGGCCAAGCAGTTTCTTTAGTAATTAACCAATGACCTTCCTCCATCAGAGGGAGCAGGAGGGAGGTGGAGAGAAACCCTGTTACACTCCTCCCTGTGGAAGTGTCTATAGAACTGTCTCTTAAGGTTTGGGCATTGACCTAGCTATGAACCTCATAGGAAGGCCCTCAACTGTAGGAATAAATTCACTCCAGAAAATGTCTGACTATCGCAGCTTGACTCAGACAGCTGTATGGCCCAGCCAGACAAGCTCTATAAAAGCCTGAATCTCAGTAGTTTACCCTTCGAATAAAGACCACAAACTGAGTCCACCCAGAAAGAGACCAAAGGAAATTCCTAATGTTCCAACCATTGTAGATAGGATCTTCTGCCAACACACACCCATGCTTTTCACCAATCAGTGGTTCTAAACCTTAGAAATCCCTCATCACCACCTTTGCTACTATAAAACCCCAACTCTAACTGAGCTGGAGGGGGGAATCACTCCAATACATTGGATGCAAAGACAGACCAAGTTTGCAAACTTGTGTAAGAATAGACTCTTTGCTTTTCCATACAGGATTTGGTCTCCTGGTTGGTTTTGGGGGGACTCCGTTATCTGTGCATAACATTAACCATCCATTTATCATGATACACACCAGAAAATTCTTGCAGGAGGGAAGAAAGCCACAGGCATGACCAATATGCAACCACCTCCACCCAGCCAGCCCTGCCGAAACACATCAACCTTTCACAAGCATTAGAGAACTCTGGGGAGAAATTCTCACAGTGGAATGAAAGTTGGAAAATCTTTAGCAAAAGAATCCTCCGGATCAAGTTCAGGTTATTTATATAAGAGAAATTATTTGAATGAAATAAATATGAGAAACTACGTAAGTGTAAGGGGTTACAGTGGTCTTCAGTGAGCACTCACACGTCAGTGGATGCTTATGTTCTCACCTGGAGAGTCCTCTGCCAGCAATCAAATCTTCGACTGAATTTCGTACCACTTGTGCAGAGAAGAGACCACAGAATCCAAGAGGATACAGCATTGCTAAAGGCATCTTTAGAAACCAACGTGGGATCAAGATCCATGGTTGTCTAGATGTACTTAGAACACAGCTATCCTTAAGATAGTAGCCAGTGATAGCTAATGATCACTGAGGCTAACCCTCCTCTGAAGCACATTATGAATATAATAACAACAATTGCTGAAAGTTATTTAGTTGCATTTTCTTTAATTTATGGTTCGTTTTCCTTTAATGACCCATCTTGGACCCATTTCCGCTGATTGGCTAGGATATCTTTTGTACTGCTGCTAAATCATGATTACAAAGACTTTGAGGCTACCAGGACAAATAACCTTCACAGCCTTCATATTTTATTGGTGGTGGAACTACATTTGCTCATGGAAAGGGCAAATGGAAATGTGAATAGACACATGATTTGTAAGAGAATTTGAAATATAACTTTCAGTATTGCTCACAGGGCCAATAAAATTGAAATAAAGGTGACTGATTATTAACAGAGAAATGATTGAATATACTGTGAGATATTGTCATAAATACTATGTAGTCATTAGAAATGATTTAGATCTATGAAAGTTTATCCACAAGGTATCATGAATTTTAAATGTGTAATGCCTAAAGAAATGAATACTTATTTGTGTAAAGGAAAGAAATGCTAAATATACATCTGTGTGTTCTGCCTGTGTATGTTTGTATACACATCCAGGTGTGCCCATGCATATATTGTTACTGATGCTTGTATGGGCGCATAGAGGAGTGTTTTCTGTTATACATCCATTCTTTATTTTTCTTCTGTTTCGTTTTCATTGTGCTAGAAATCAATCTGAGGACATAAAGCACAGTAGGAAAGTGCTGGACCACTGAGCCAACTCCAAGGTTCATGCAATCTTCTTAACTTGAGTAGATGATAAAAATGAAAAGATTCCAAATAACTGTGGGTTACATTTATTTAAAATTAAAATTTTTGTTGAGTGTTTTTTTGTCCATGTCTAAAACATGGTAAAAAATAATGGAAGACTCTGTTTTGAGATTCTTTGATTCTTCAAGAACCAAATTATTGTCTTTCCTGGGACCACACTGGATTGCCAACAGTAGCAGAAAATATCTGAAGCTCTTGAACCATTTGGGTCCCCTTGATTTGTGAAGGCAAGCATATCACTTCCCTGTGCAATAATAAAGAACAAAGCTAGACACAACAAGCAGCCTCACTAGCTAGGTCAGCGAGAACAGAGCAGAGGCTGCTGCTCACTGTCTTCTCTTTCTCTAGATGAGGATGGGCTTGGCATAAGCATCATTGGAATGGGTGTTGGCGCTGATGCAGGACTAGAGAAGCTGGGGATATTTGTCAAGACAGTGACAGATGGCGGTGCTGCTCAGCGGGATGGCAGGTGAGCTGGATACTGTTGACTGTGAATTGAACCCGAGGAAACTGTCCCTGCAAATTTCTGTCAATGGGATCTTCTTTTCATGAAAAAAAAATTGTTTTTAGTGTTTCTCAGATGTGTGAGAATGTTTAAACACTTGACTTACTTTCCTTTTGGTAGCAGAGCAGTGCATCTGTCTGTCTTTGTTTCTGTCCATTCATCTGCTTAGTAAGTGGGAAGTGGACCATAACATGGTATGTATGGAAGTTGGCATATAACTTTATTTCAGAAATGTTCAAGTGAATAGTAATAATTCCGGTTCTTTTGAAAAGGACAGAGTAGAGGGGAATTTAAGATTCTGTAGCCTGTTGCTCCTCCATGTCTCTTACAGAGAACTAGGTGCCAGAGTGCTGCGTGGACCTATAGAAGGAGACCTCTCTGTGAGCAGAGGCTGGCAGCCTGCTCCAGATAATTATGGCTTAATGTTTTAGCTTGCATCGGGTCAAAGGTAATGTATCTTTAATGTAAAGGTTTCATCTTAACTTTACACCAGGCTTCTGATGGAAAACTGGAAGTAAAGGGGGGACAACAGAAATGAAAACAAAACAAAACAACACAGATTCTGACAGCTAGATTCAATGAACACTGAATAAATAGCATTCTTACATTAGATTACATATCACATGTTCTCAGAAAGTCAATGGATCGTGGTCCTTGAGACTGACAGTAGCAGCATTCTGTCTTTCATAATCCTAAAATACTTTTTGGTATACATCAGGCTCTAAAGGGGTAGGTACCAAATTGATTTATTTAATCAATTTATTTATTTTGAGAAAGGGTCTCAAGAAAGATGCTGAGTTAATTATGGAAAATATTGGTGCCAATAGCGTGTTACTAAAAACTGTCTTCTGATTTCCACATGTGCAGACATGAGTATATATACATAAACACAATATAAAATAAATAATACACAAAATTTTAAGCTAGGCATAATGGCCAGTGCCTTCAATTCCAGCACTCAGGAGGCAGAGGTAGGCAGATCTCTGAGTTTGAGACCATCCTGATCTGCACAGCAAGTTTCATTCCAAGACATCCAGGGCTACACAGAAAAACTATGTCTAGAAATACATACATACATACATACATCATACATACATACACATATATACATACACACATATGTATATACATATGTATGTATATATAATTTAAAGTGAGAAATATTAATATAATGTAACTCATTGAAAAGGACCCTTTATTCCAAGTTAATTAAACTTGTAAAAATCTACTAATTTGTAAAAGTCATTGGGAAATAGGAAATAATCCTTACATTTAGTACCACACAAAACTAAATGATTATGCATCATCTCTTAAGTGAATCGAGCACAAATTCAAACAAAATTGCAAAATGAAAGCACAAAGAAAAAGATTGCATTTAGCGCTCCTAGATCTGGTTTCAGACACATGGCATTTTATATTTTCCTCACTTGTTTTAAAAAATAAATTTGATTTCTCTGTCGGGATCTAGTGCCAGCCCATACCCTAAATTCTTTCTCTGGACCAGAGGGGAGGTGTTGGATTAAAGACACAACAAACATGGTTTTATTGGGAGGGAGATCCTCAGTGATCCGTCATGAATACTTTAGTTCACATCCTGAAAATTCCTCTGCGTTAATTCTTCAAACAGCCTCATATACCAATATATAAACTGAGGGGGAAATTCATTAGCATTCTGTTTCCTAGGTAACCAGGTGAATGGCTGTGGTCACATCCACATCTACCTATGCTTGCTGTCATGAATTCCTGTTCTGTATGCCAGCTCTGTTTCATAGGCCAAATTAACATCTCTTTTTAGGCATCCTCCAAATTACAAAGAAGGAGCAGAACACTATCCTGACCCTTTGTTAGGGATGGCTACAGTCTAGGTGACCGACCACCTCCTGTTTCAGGTGCAAACAATGGCCTGGGATTCTGGCTGCCATACCATGTAGAAATATGGGCCTACATTTCTCTTAACCTCTTTATTTATTTTGCTGTCCTGTGTTGTTTCATTATTTATACTGACATTAGATCTTCTCCTGGGGAGTTGGGATATTGCTGTTGGATCTGTATCTCCACGGCATTGTAATCCCCTGAAGGTCATTAATGTTGTCTCAGCTGCTGTCCCTGTCTTTTGTCCTTTGTTCTTTGGTGACACACACCTTGAGAAGTAGTTTTCCCTAGCTCCCTTCCCAGAAGTACCATGCCAACAAGTAACTATATGAACACATTAAACACACCAAGAGTAGCCCAACTCCTACAGCTATGACTGGTTCTGAGTCCATCCAGAGGCCTCTTGACAGTTTGAGAAGGAAGCTGAAGAATGGGCTCCCTGCTGTGGATTGTCACTGCTGGAGTGCTTTGCAGCCTGGATTCTTCTAGCTTCCCCATGTTCTCTTCTTCAGCGACACACACTTCTCTACCTAATGTCATGCCTTCTCTTCAACAGACCTCCTTTGACAGTTCATCCCTGGACTCCTGGTGATAAATCCTCTCTAGATTGACAGTTTTTCTTTTCTTCTTCATAGTACCTTTTACAGTCTTTTTTCCCCATGTTTGGGCACATGGGTATGTGTGAGCATCATGTTTACACAGATGCATTAAGTGAATTAGAGCATGCCATATACTGGTTTTCTGCTCCTAAGTTAATTTTGTGTTAGACATGGTACATTTTCCATGGAAGTGTGAAGGCTCCAAATTATGTGTATTACTTATCTTGCATCCGTTGCACTTAGAGAATTTCCTTTTGGCCTTGGGTTATAGACTGTAGACCCTCAAATCCAGAATCTTCCTTCCGCTTCATTATGTTCTTGTCCTGCCCATGCCCTTGCTTAAGGAGTCGTTCTTGGAATGCTTCAGCTGAGGAAAGCCTTTTAGACTGTTTCCCTATTTGCTCTGAAAATGTTACATGGCTGTCAGTGTATGAAATGCTGTTTTAAGGTGATAAAGAACATATCTGGCATGAATGGTGAAGACCGTAAAGAAGAAAACGAAGTTCTCCCATGTCGCTAGGCACTGTCTGTGTTCTGCTACTGCAGCTCGGCTAGGAGTTCCTCAGTCAGTGAAGTAAAGTAAGACCTGACATCTCCAGGAGTCCTGCTTCCCACAGGCTAGATTGCTCAAACTATGACCACAGCAAATCTCGGAGAACAGCTCTGCCTTTGTTCTGACTATCGAGTTCAGCAGCCCTTTCTATGGAAACGCACTTTCCTTCTCTTTCAAGTTGACAGCTTTCACCCTTTCACTTAAAGGAGTCCCACTATTTATTTTGGGCGTATTTGAATTGTCTTCTTACTCTTAGGGACCAACACTGCCTTGTCCTTTGGGTCCATTGTTAACTCAAGTAAGAGAACTTGAGCAGAAGTGCTGTGAGGCTGGGGATGCTCCTCTTGTAACTAAGTCCTTCTGTGACCAGCAGGCCACTGGCATAGCAGCGTGGAAACTCCTGGCAGATGGGCAGTTCTCATCCTGGAAGGACGCATCCTATTACTTAGAGTAAATGGCATGGGATTTAAATGTTTGGAATTGTTTATTTCTGGAATTCTCCACTTAATACTTTTAGACAGCAGATGAACATGGGAAATTGAAAGTAAGTTCACAGGTAAAGGGTATTTCTGCACAGCCTTGTGTTTTTATACATTTTATTCATCAGGAGAGTATTTGTTGAATGCTTACATTGTGACAGCAGTGATCTGTGCTCTGTGTATTTTGACTTATTTGCTCTTGCTAATAATAATGATTTAATATGCATTTTATTGTTTCTGTTGCATATAGAAGGAAGCTAAAGTGTCTTATATACACTCACAAGTAAGTGGCAAAGGCTGACTGTAATAAACCTAAGTCTCTAATTGCAGTCAGTACTTAAATAGCGCATTACAGAACAATATGTACAATAGATTCATTTGCACAATAGATTCTAAAGACATTTTTATTGCAATACTAGTATGTGTGTGTATGTTGTATGTATGTGTAACTTATAGATGTTTTGGCATTTTTTAAATTTCAAGATGGGAGTCATGTCAATATTTTTATATACAAATTATCAGAAACATCTCTGATTATTTCTTTGAAACTAATTAAATAATGGTAACTTGCATTACCGTGTCAGTGTATATTACATGCATGTTAAATGCTTTAGAAATAAGTAGCTAAAGTGCCCTTCAGAAACATCATTTAGTGAGTGATCCCCTGAACAGAATTCCCACACGGCAGCTGCTGTACCCCATGCAGACTGAATGTTGTGATATACTAGAACCTTTAATAATCTGAGTGCCATGATGTAATTGCCATTCAGTTTTTAAATTTTTTTCACCCTTGTCCTTGACAATTTATTATTTTACTTCATGTACATGTATGAATGTATGTATGCCTGTGTACCACAAGCATGTGTCTACCTCCAGAGGCCAGAAGGCATCATGCTTGCTGGCACTGGAATTACAGTCACTTGTGCTGAGGGTGCTGGGAACTGAGCCCCAGCCATCTGTAAAAGCAGCGAGTGCTCTCAGCTTTAGCTCCTTCTGTGAGCCCTGTTAAATGTTCATTGATCACCTGTATTTCTGCTTTTGAAAAAGAAATTATTTGTTGTATATTTTTTGTTTTTGTTTTTTTTTTCACAAGTTTCTTCTTCACTGGTGACTCAGTGAGAATCCACAGAAATAAGTGGTCCCTGCAAACTGCCTCACTATGTAACTAACAGAAATGTCTTCCCTGCTTCTCCGCGTTACCAAACAAACAAACAAACCAACACAAAACAAAACAATTACACACAACAAACAAAATTAATATGGAAGTCTAAACTTAAACTTGTTAAAGTCTATATGTATTTCCTACTCTTAACTCTCTATCAGAACTGTTGCTTTCAAATTCATGGCCCTACCCTGTGGCTCATGGACCATTGCCTTCTTCGTCTGCTAGTTTATCTTCACTGACTGTGCTTCAGACATGGGGCTTCTGAAACCTATCTAACAATCTGATTTCTATTTCAAATTTAGTATAAAAGACTTTAACTTCTGTTTTCCCCTTTTCTCTGTTTCCATTTTTGTTTGTTTGTTTGCTTGTTTTCTTGAGACAGGGTTTCTCTATGTAGCCCTGGCTGTCCTGGAACTCTGTAAACCAGGATGGTCTCGATGTCAGAGATCTGCCTCTTGAGTGCTGGGATTAAAGGCATGCACTACCACGCCCAGCTTCTCTGCTTCCTTTAAACTGTATCATTTTGAGCATTGACTCTGCTCTTCATTGCTTTCATGTAAAGCTGACTGTTCCTCTTTCATCCTCATTTATTTTACCCATACACTCTCCTTACGTTGTGGGTTTCTTTCTTTGAAGTGCCACAGGCTTTTGTGCTTTTGTGGTTTGGGTTTTTGAGACTGTGGTCTAGGCCAGGCTTTTCTGTGTATTCATTGGTATCTGTTACGCTCCTTTAAGAGGACCCCTCCCCAGTTTATTTCTGCTTTTGCCCCAAGTGCCTTCTTTTAAAAGTATTAAGTTGTGTGACTCTTAAAACAGTGTAGCCCAGTGCCTGTTCAAGTTTCCAGTTTAGACAGGAAGGAAAGAGGATTGTCCTGACTCAGTTCCAGAGAAACAGAGCCCTCCATCCTGGATGAAGACAGCACCAGGCAGGGAAGGCGTACAGGCAGAGCAGGAAGCTGGCTGGCCATGTTTCACATCCTGACTCAGGGAGCAGAAAGAGTGACCAGGAAGTGGGTCCATGATGTAAAACTTAAAGCCCACCTCTAGTGGCCTACTTCCTCCAGCAAGGCTTTCCAGATGCTTTCCAAATGTACCAGTTGGGGATCATGGGTCCAAGCATATGAGCCAATGAGTGAAATTTTATATTCAGATCACAACAGTGAATGCTGATGAGTATGATGTTTTATATGAAAGGAAAGTAACAAGATCCAAAATAGTACATTCAGTCATAAAGGGTGAGAAAGGGGGTTGGAAAGGGACATTATCTGCCTTCAAGATTTTCTTCTAAAGCTTCAGGGATCAAGAAAATGTGGTATTTACAAATAATTAATAATAGATATGATAATAAATGATAGATCAACAGGACAAAATAGAGAACCCAGAAACAGACCTAAAGTTAGCATTGTGAATTGTTTACAGTATAAAATCCAACTGGGTCACACATTCATAATTTCAGAGAATTTGTAATTTTTATGTATTAATATCATTCTTAGGAAGATATTTTATGTCACATAATGAGAGACACTTGTGTTCAGTCACACAACTAAAGGGAACAGACAGCTTCGGTTTGCAACCATAGCCACACATGAAGTTCTCAGAGAAACTCAGAACGTCTACAGCGCATTTCTGTGAAGTCTGATCCCCACTAGGGATCATGAAATGCTTGTGCCATGATTTGAACTGGTAAATGCAGAAGAGAATTAGAAGGGTAGTGTGTCAGAATCTTCCGCTATCCCAAGAGGGCATGGAGTTCAGTAACCCCGCACAGCTCTCCAGAGCAAGGTGTAAAAGCCTGCCCCCTCCTACTGCTGCTTTTAATGATGGTTCCCCAGCCAAGGCTGCCACTGCACCCCCATTATCATCATCATCTGGTCTAGAACCAGAATGGCAAAAATGGGGATGGGGGTAGGGAGAATACAAGGTACAGAAGGAGAAAAAGAAAAAGAAAGAGCAATAAACTGCCAGCAGACATGAATGCCAGCAAATAATATTTCTGTTGTTTCTGCGATCACTCTGATGTCGGAGATGTGGCGGGAACTGGGCTTCAGCACGTAGGGGTCTCTGCAGTGCCACAGTTTGACTGACTTTGTAAGCACTCGTGGTAGCTTCAGTGGATCCTTCAGAATGTGATGTTCAAATACAGGTGACCCCCTGAAGAACATAAAAGGTGACTTTCATAAATGTAAAATAAGATTTTATTCAGTACTCTAGTAATTTTAGAAAGTAATAAGAAATAAATGTGATTCAGAGAGTATTTGGGGGAGCCAAGAATCTCAGCAGGGGTGTAACCCAGAATTGGAGAGCTTGTCTGCCTACCTTGGGCTCATCCTCAGCACACCTACTTCCTTTGTCTTTTCCAAGGTTCGAGGTAAGTAGTAATGTCTGAATAATAAAGCTGGGTGAGCCTGAAACTCCATGACTGACAACATAGAAAAAGATCTGAAAATACCAAGGATTCTTTGACTCCCATACGTTTGTTTCATTTCTACCGTGATTGAAACCCTGAGTCGAGTCTCTACCCTGGAAAGGCTCATGTGGATAAAAATATATAGCAAATTGATTCTTTACATCTGTCTTTATAATAGCTAAGTTTGAAAATTATTCATGTCTATTTACAAAAAGCAAATGCACAAAAATAATTTGATATAGTTGTCAAAATAAATTAGATAGAATTACAGCTAGAATTACCAGAGGAAAAATCTCCTATTTAATATTGAGTGAATAAAGTAATAAGATAAGAGATAGACTTTGTAATTTGTGAAGCATACATTTGTATTGTATATTCATTGGCCAAACACACAGAAAAACAGTATGTGGTCATCTGTACTGAAGAAATATAGGCAATAAGATTATAGGAAAACATCTAAGGAGCATCCCCTTTTTTGTAATGAATTAAAAATGTTTTAAATATTGCACAGTGCTCAAATTGATAAAGCTGGAAATTGGGTGGCTGAGTGTGTGTTATCAACTTCATACCACATTATTCCATGCCCAAAGCATTTTATGAGGAATAAAAACCGGCCTATATAAAACATATGTGCACATTTAGAAGTACTTACACCTTTATCAATATTAATATAATACACATCTCAGAAGCACATCTTTGAGCATATAGAAGCATACACATGTACACACATGAGCATTGCATATTTGAAGCACTGATGCAATTCCTGCTGTTTTCCCTGGGGGAGGAGAGCAGCGACAGGCACTAGGTGTTAGGCTCGAAGGATATTGCGGCTGTTCCTATTACATGCAATTAGACACAAACGTGCTAGACATCTGCCATGCATTATAGTTGCCATTTTAAGACTATGTGCGATAAACTGAATCCTTTCAATATTACTTTTCCAGCTTTCGGTGGAATTACTTTTTGTCATGTCCGCATGTGTACGTACATTTATATGTTTATGTGGGTATGTGTATATGTTTGTGGAAGAGAACAACTTTAAGTTTCGTCCCTCAGGTGCTGTCTCTAGAATATCTCTTTGGCCTTGAATTTGCTAAACGGGCTTGGCTGGCTGGCCAGAAAGCCCCAGGGATCCACTTGCCACTTGTGGACATTTTCACGTTGTTTCTGAGTGTCAAAGTCAGTTCCCTGTACTCGAGGCAAATCCTGTACTAACTGGACTGTCTCTGCAATCTTCAAAAGACAGCTTATTGTGCGGAAGATACATTTGGAGGCAGCTAGTTCTTGGTCAAGTTCTTTTCTAGGAAGGGCAGTGCATTAGCAAATGAGTTCACTGTGGGTGTTGTTTTCTCTTTTTCTCCAGGATCCAAGTCAATGACCAGATTGTGGAAGTAGATGGAATCAGCCTGGTGGGGGTCACACAGAATTTTGCAGCAACTGTTCTGCGAAATACCAAGGGCAACGTCAGGTAAGTCTGAGGCTTTCTAATGAGCAGCTTGGCAACTTCATACTTTTATGGATGGCAATTTCCCCATACATATTTATAATTATAATGACAATCTTGTCTGAATACTAAAACGGTGTGAACTCTGCTATTGCTAAGCTGTATAGTGTACCTTATTGTTTACACAGTAGAATTACCATGGCCATGACTTCTTAGTCACCACCTTAGTAAATATTAATGTCCTCCTCAATTCCTTTTAATGAAAACAGTTTGGGAACAATTGAAACTGAAGTGGATGCGCACACACCAATGGCATGTATTATTAGACAAACAGGCTGCTTGATTTGAGGCAGTGTATTTAAGAATCTGTTTATTGTTGTTAAGAGTTAGGCAGGGTCTATCTTCAATGAATCATGTCTTTCTAACTTAATAACACAGAGGGTACAATCTTCAGATTTGGGAACTTCTTTCTAGTGCCCTGCTTGTGAGAATTACGACTCTTACATAAGAAAGCCATTTTATACGATTCTGGTTGAACTTTGAAATCAGTTTACTTGATTGACATTTACTTTTTTTGAAGGCACTGTAAAAATGTATTGCACGTTGCCAAAATATCATGAACACTTTAAGGAGACACTATTTAGTGAGTGTAACTGTGAAAGCATCTCAGTGCTTCCTCATCGAAATCAAACTGTCAGTCATCCTGAAAATACTGCAAAGGTGATGTCATTGAGCAAGGGCGCCAGTGTCCTCACGCAGCATATTTCCAGCTTCCGGCTTTGTCATGTGATTTTGCAGGCAGCCTCGAGGAATACAACCTAAACAGACATGTAGGTGGGGCCTGTTCTTTCCACTCAGGTGCCAGGGGTGCCCAATACCTCTGTGGTGATGCTCTATAGCTCTGTGGCTCCTTGGTAAGTACGATGGATGTTCTTCAAGACTTGTTTGGAAACTGCTCATTAGACACCAAGACAAACTCAAAGAGTAAAAAGGATACACATTCAACTGGGAAGAGCACATCCCAGTTGGAAAGTCTGAGGGGATGGTAGATCACGCCTATTCTGTCTTCTTTCTCCCTACTGGCCAGGACATTCGTGTTAATATTTCAATATCTGGAAAAGTGGCAAGTGTGTGTCACTTAAGTGGTTTCTCTCTTGTCACTCTCTCCTCTTTTCCTTCTACCTTAATTCCATCCAAGTAGGAGAACATAATTGCAATTTTCAAAATATAAAGTGCTGTTATGGAAAAATAAATTGATCTTTTGTTTATCTCAAATACATCTAATACAGAGGAGTAGAAATAATCATAGATCCATCACAGCTACCTCCTCTTTGGCCACTTTCAATGAGTCTGACTCTCTTGGGCCTGGTGGTGGTGGTCCCATCTGGTGGTACTTCTCGTGTTTCTGTGATCTCCTATGGTTCCAGTCATCGTCCTTCAGGCCTGACTTGTGTGTGATTATTTCTGAACCTCTTGTTGTCACTGTTTTCTGTTTGAAATGCTGTCTTCTACCCAGAACTGCTGCATCTTAGACAGCTCTCAGCTCCTTTGCCCTCCAGACTCCCTTCTTGGCCTCAGGTGACTTAACTGATGGCCGCCATCTTCATACCGTTGTTTCTCCTTGAGGTGACAGAGAATTCTGATTTCACCTTTGGCTTTGCAGAAATCTTGTGCATGCGTGGCAGTATCAGCCTCCTTCATTCCATCCTCATTATTTAGCCAGGATCTGAATTTGCTGAAGTTATGTGATCCACAGTCTTAGTTAGTTGACTGCAAGAGAAAGTGCCGTCATGATCCTAACTTTGTAAGAATAACATGCAGATCTTCCAAATACACTTCTTAGTACTTTTATATGAAATATTAATTAGAAACTAGACCTGAATTTATCATCAAATAAGATACGCATGTGTGTGTATGTGTTTTGTGTGTGTGTGTGTGTGTGTGTGTGTGTGTATTTTGTATTTATTTTTCTCTAGCATTTGGTTTTGTTCAGAACAAAACTCTCAGTAGGTTACCCTGGTTAGCCCGGAACTCTGTATGTTGTAGCTTTGAGCCTGTGACTATTCTCTTCTTTCTGCCTCACATTACTGGGTTTAGGTATGTGCCTCACTAGTTCCATATTTCTTCATAACTAGAGACTTACATGTCACATTTAATGATTATTAAAATGTGTTTTTATCTGGTGCTGTTGTCAGGAACGTCTCTATTCTGATAGACTTTGTCCAACCACAAATCACAGATCCTATAGAAATATGTGGAATTCAAGGTTGTAAAGAACTAGAAATACAGGGAGAAGAGAAAAACAGGATTGTGATTTTTTTATGCATTAGAGATTAATCTTTTGTTTCCTGAAAATTTACACGAAAAATCTTGTCATATTTAAGTATAAGTCATAGTCACACTGAATTCCCATGAGTTCACCCATAATTTCAGAAAACAATTTTTTCCTCTTCATATGCTCTGTCTTACTAAGATGTGAATAATGATTCTTGAATTTATGAATCCATGGTATGGGTAAGAGTACTATTAGTATACCATTTGCTTGTCTCTGGTTTTGTTTTTATTTTGTGGGAAAGTCTGGTTGTTTGTCATATAGATAGGCTATCCTAGAACTCATAATGTAGCACAGGCAGACCTCAACCTCCTAAGTAGGAGTTACAGAAGTATGCTATTGTTGTGGTCCTTCCTTGACAGGGTTCACACGTTCCAGAGTAGGGGGCATGTGGATTAGAAATTTTAGGCAGAAAGAAAGAATAGAGAGGCACAGAATAGAGGTGGGAGGGCCATTCAGAGAGTACTGAATTATCCCACATTTATTTCCGTATGCTTATATACTCCAATCCAAAAAGGGAGGGAAGAACTCAAAAGACTGCCTTAACATGAGAGAAAGAACATTACCTCTTCAATACCTGAAGACCTGAGTTAAGTATTCTGTGTTTTAGGTAGGCCATTCGGGGACCTAAGGTGTGGACCTTAGGCCAAGCATCCTGTAGGCAGCCACTCCCTTGGTCAAACCTCTAGTCAAATCCCTGAAGGAGCAGGAATAGGCATGAACTCTATGACCTTTAGTCAAGGTGGAATAGGTCAAGCTGTATGAGCGATCTTAATACCCAAAACACCAAGTAATCATACCCTAGATCAAGATATCTTGTTAGTAGCTACACCATAGGTCAGACCTCTTGTCAATGATCTTGAAGGAGCAAGAATAGGCCTGCAGTCTCCTTTATTCAAGGTGGAACAGACTCAGTTCTGTGGGCTCCGACATGCAACCTCTAATTATACTGATTGGCTCATTGGTTGGTTGTAGTGCTGAGGGTTAAAACCAGAGAAGGTGCATAGCCTGGCTGACCATGAACCGCAGTTTCCAGGAGTATCAGCACTGCCCCAGCCAGCAGTGGTCTCTGTGCTTGTACTTGGTGGTCTCTTCCTAGCTGTAGATCACAACTCAATTTCTTCTTCTCTACAGAGATGTGAACAACAGATTGAACACTTGCCTAAATTTGTGACATTCCTGGCAAAATAAAAGACAAGGTTAAGTTCTATATCCAAGATAAATGGTATGACTTTGAATCAATCTGTTAATATGTAGTGATTTCTACTGTCTTTCTATTGTTACACAGATGCTTTTTACCTTTTTAAACTACTCCCTAACATTTTCTTCTAATAGATTTATAATTATGGTTTAAAATTAATTTTGTTCTAACTAAACATGGCCCATCAAACACAAGACTCTCTAAGAAAAATATTTAGTAAATCTGACAGAAATATTAACAGATGAATATGCAGATACCAAGCCTATTGCTTCTGGTGCATAGAATATAAACCTTGAATGTTTATTTTTGCATAAGCAGACTCTGATGAGAAGAGCCTCCTCATAAGTGGGAGCCATGTCACATGAGAAAGTGACATCCTGTCGACCATCATTCAGGTGATGGGACTTTAAGAAACTTACATTTCCTCCATAGGCTTGCTTCATCCAACAATGAAAATATTCTATAATAAACATAGTAAATCCTGTTCATCCAAGTTCAAAAGAAGAAAGCAGTGAATTCATTTTATAATATATATTGCGATGTGTAAACTAGGCTGGAGCTTGTCGGGACTGCTGAGGTGCTCAGCTGCAGAATGCCCGGAGCATGGTCCTGATCCTGGTGAAGACTGTGGTGTGCATCACCAGTCAATGTACAATTCCCGGGAAAGACGAACCAGCCTATCAGAACTGTATATAACAGTAATCGGGTTGGCGACGTGCCTGGATTTCCTGTTTTGGTTGACTTTCTGAGTCAGTTTGATGGGCTAAGGTAGCCCCACAAAGCTGATAGAGCACCAATTATCAGATCCATCAATCATCTACAGCAGCCATTTCCCAGTGGGGACAGACATCATGCCGTGCTAGGGGTGCAGGTGGAGGACCCAGGAGACAGAATGCAAGCTTTGTTTGAGCTGGAGTTGTCCACTTTCTCCTGTTCTTAGACATCGGCAATGTGACTTTCTGGGCCCAAGACTCCCGCCAGGACTTAACTCCGGTGGCTTCACTGTGACACACAGTGTCTACATGGCTAGTTATATCTCACTAATACATGTGAGTCAGCTCAAATCACATCTCGGCCGAGTGATTTCTTAGTTTACTGTGTTTACTGTGTATAACTCTTAGTTAGCCTAATGACATTGCCATGTTCCCACATGTCCATCATCCATGACCCTCTGATGATCTTACCCTTGTAGAGCACACTCTATTCTGCTCCCTGTCTTATCATACAGACCTGTATCCTCAGTCCATTGTTGTTGTTTAAGTGTGTAAAGCAAACAGAAACACAGGGACAGTGGAAGTAGACAGTGTCATTGGTATCAGTGAAGTACCCGATCTTCTACCAGTTAGTGTGACCTTAGGACATTGAGGAAAAACCCTTCTATTTTTTCTTTCTTCTTTCCTTCCTTTCTTCCTTTCTTCCTTCCTTCCTTTTTTCTTTCTCTCTTTCTTTCTTTTTTCTTTCTTCCTTTTTTTCTTTTATTGGCTATTGTTT